TAGTTTTGAACAATTTATTATTTTTATTTCTTATAAAACAATGTCTTGCCATGGAGTTATTTTATTTTATTTTTCACATCAAATGCAAAGAATGACATTGATTATTTTATTGTAAGAATATATCACTTGTCTCAAAGTTTTTGTGGCGTGTAGTTTACATTGTCTTAATTGTATTTTGTATTTTAGGATATGCAAATGTAAAAAATTTCACAAGTCTCACTATCTTCAAATTTAAATTCACTAGTTATGAGAAATTTTAATAATTTGCACTTTATTACTAAAAAAATATTGAACAATTTACAATATGTCATCTAATTGACTTGATAGGCCTAAAAGTCTGGACTCAAAATATTTTATACAAGCCTAGTTTATTTAGAATAAAGTTTACTTTAACCTGACTAATTCACACCCCTACCTTTAACTTCCATATCCTACCAGTTATCCCTATGTTTGAAGAGATAGTTGATGCCTGCATAACATTAACTTCTAATAAGAGTTTAAGGGATGTGAAACTTACTTTTATATATTGGTCACTGAAAAAATATTAATTAAGATATCAAAAGGTTCTTAATTAACAATACAAACCAATTTAGCATCTAATATCATTATTAACTCTTATACCATGGAAGTCTTGCCATAAACACATAATTCCTTTCATACCATTCAAATCATAAGAGCATTACAAATCACTCGACTGAGTTTTTAGGAAGTTTAAAGATGTTATAGAAATATAAAAATTATTGGTGGACTTTTATTTTCTAATTTGAGCTGTTGGGTTGTATTAATTGCTTTACATGGGATTAGAGTGTAACTACGAGGTCACAAGTTCAATCTTCATTAGCCCCTACTTCATAGTTAGTGGAATTAAGTAGCACAAGGTATAAAAAAAAAGGCATGTGCAATATATCTCTTTTCATCATAATGTCAAATCAACCAATCAAATAAAACATGATGTATAAGGAGAATATTTTTAATAGGGGCTTGATCAATTTATATGTGTAAGAATAAGAAGTTTTCAACTAATTTAATCGTTGATTTACGTACATCCGACGGTTGTAATTTATTGAATTGTATTATTTAATTAATTAATTAATAATTCTATGTATTAATTAAGACTTTTTATTTTATATCGATGAAAATTAATTTTGTCCCTTTTTAATATACTCCAATTTAAAATAAGACACTATATTTTCTATCATTTGTTAATCTAATTATAACACCAAATTGATCAATCATATAAAATATACTGGTTAAGACTTAAGAGAAATGTTTCTAATATATTCCATTTAAAAGGAGAAATAATTATTTACCAAAAAAAGGAGAAATAATTTATGTCAAGTATTACTTCCATCCTTTAATAATTGGATCAATATGATCCCCTCGAGTTTTGCAATTATTTTTTCCTTTAAAGTGTGGCAAATATTCTAATTGATGAAGAGCTTGTCTTAAAGTCTATATCAGTAAAAATCGGCTCGGATCGGCGGGTCGACCCGGGTCTCAGTGACTCGGTCTAAGTGGTCATTTGAATCGATTCTGCAGTCAACTCGGTTTGAATCGGTTGACCCAGTCGAGACCCGGGTCAGACCGGATGATCCTTTTTTTTTTGTAAATCTTTTTTTGTTGTTGCTGAGAGAACTCTTGAATTAATTCATGTTCATATTTTATGGTAAATATGATTAAAAAATAAGGTGAAAATAAAAAGGTATTTCAGATTAGTGCAGTTCATTTATGTAATTTAGTTGCATCTTATAATGATCTCAAGAAGTTAAGTGAGGATAAACACGGATGGTCTTCTCTCAATGGTGGACACTTTCTCCTTAGTATTCATGCCTACCATTTGTTATCATGATTTAGTTTATCTGTGTTATGTCAAGGCATAAAAGGTGCATTAGCTTACATTGCAATTTTAATCTAATGTTAGGATATGGTCTAGAGGTAGAAGCCTAAAAGTATATAATATTTGCTATCATTGAAAATCAATTTATTTTTTGAAGCTCATTGGTAGTTTTTTTATGTGAATTTTTTAATATAAGTAATATGTTTATATTTTTTTAATATATGAACAGTAAATTCTGTTGAACCCAATTGAATCTGGTTGAACCAATAACCAATACCTCGACAGAGTCGATGACCGGTCCGAGTTTTAAAACACTGGTCTATAGTCTATACAGTTGGTAATCATGGATCTTCCTACATCTAGATGAGTTTTTCCATCAATCTTAATCGTTTGATTGACGAAAATCAATGGTCAAGATTATCTATAAAATTATTATCCTTACACTGATGTAAGTTGATCTTATCTCTATATGGGGCTGGATCTTCTTACACTAGTGTAAGAATAATAAATCTTACACTCAATCTTAACCGATGATTTTCGTAAATCTGACGATTGTAATTTATTGTTGATTAATAATTAATTAATAAAGATAATCCAATCAATCTTAACCGTTTATATTTGTAAATCTGACGGTTGTAATTTATTGGGGATTAATAATTAATTAACCAAAATAACTCAATCAATCTTGACCATTTGATTGACGAAAATCAACGGTTAAGATTGAGTGTAAGATTAATATTTTTACATCGGTGTAAGTTGATCCTCTATATATATATATATATATATATATAATATAGTCAGAGGATCATTTTACACCAATATAATTTGCACTCTTAATTTTGGTCATTATATATAACAGCTCTAATTTATTAGGCATATGAGCCGTTAGATACAAGTAAATCAATGACTAAGATTTGATATAAAACTTCTTATTCTTACAACGATATAATAATAACTTGTCCTATATATATATATATATATATATATATATATATATATAAAATATTAAAAGATATTTCAAGACAAAATAAACTTATTTTATGTTTGAAATGTAAAATTTGAATATATTCACCTGTTCATCGATTGTCCAACTAATTCGGGTTGAGCAATGAGCATTGTTATTAGACTCAATATAGGGCGCGATTCTCCCAAAATCATTTTTCCATTCTTAGAATTTGAACTTGAGAATACTAGTTAAAAGAAACCAATTTCTTTCCACTTGAATCCATGGTTATAGGATCCACCTGGGGCAATAGACTAGAAATGCTCTTTACCTTTATTCGATATCTGTGGATAGCTAGTGTTATCAGCTAAAATGTAAATTTTAAGAAGTACATTTTTTATAATATGTTTAGACAATTAAACAAGCATATGAAAGGAAAAAGCTTTGAGCTAAAGCTCTCTGACTCATTCTCACTGAAACATTGTTAAAGTAAAATCAGATAATGAATTAGAAAAAATTTTGGTTAAGATTTAAATAGTTTAATTATTTAAATTAGGTGTGTGCACAATTCAATTCACTTCAATTTTCTTGAATCAAACTAAATAGGAAAAAACAATTCAATTCAGAGAAGTGAGTTGGTTTATTTTTCAAACCTGCTCAGACTGGGTACAACAATTGTGTACGAGCAATAAACTAAAATTGTAGTTAAATTGGATAAAATACAACAACATACTGAAATTGTAGTTTAATAAATTGGATCAAATACAACATGTTAAAATATTCCAGGTTTATCAACGTTACAAATTGTCTAAAGATTTTGTACAATGATTAAATATGATAAGTGAAGCATTGTGAATAATAAAAAAATTAGTATTTACCAAAAAAAATAAATTAGTAGAATAACACAAAAAACAATTAGTTTGGTTCATGAACAACACATTTATCCTAAACTAGTTAGGGTATGAACCCAAATTAAAAGTACGAAAAGATTGAGGGAAAAAGATAAAAAGAAAATAAAAAAATATAAATGATACTATAAATTTTTAAAAAAGTAATAAACAATTAAAAATAAATAAAGTAAGATAAAAACGAAGATAAATAAAAGAGAAAAGTACATAAGAAAAAAAAATAAAAATAAAAAATTAAAGAAATAATATAATAAAATAGAGAAAAAATAAAATAAAAAAAGAGAAGAAAAAAATCAATTGGGATTTTTTAAAAACTAGTTAAAATCAAGAATTGTTTTAAAAAAATCAGTTCTTTTAAGTGTATTGCAATTCAGTTTATAAAAGAGTTTAATTATTTTAGTTATTTTGCACATTCTTAATTTAAACAAACTGATTGAATTCGTAATAAAATAATTTCAGGTATATACAACCAATTACATGAAATATATAAATTCATTATTCTTACAAATTCATTTATGAAATATGAAAAATATTAACCTTTTAAAAATTACAGTATGAGTTTATCAACACAATTGGATGAATCAATTGTGCCCGTTTCACTGTTAGACCCATCAAATTTTCTGACCTGATTTATTGTAACAATGTCGCATTATTTCGTTCAAACAAAGACAAAGAATGGGGGGAAAAAAGAAGTGATATAAAATTCTAGGGAAATCCCATGGGCCATGGGACGGTTAAAGGTATGGCCAAGAGTCCCAGGTAGCAAGCCTTGTTCGTCCACACACTGCAACTCTGCAACCGCAAGGTGAGGTTTCCTAGTGGACCACAACCTTATTTAGTGTCAATAATTAAAATAGAAAAATGTCAGAATAATATAAACCAAGTAATATTTTATTTTATGGCTATTTATTTCTAATTTATCACATACTTTTTTCCGTGTTAAAACTCTACACACATTTAAATATCTTAATCTACACATTTTGTTATTCTCTCGGCAAAACAACAAAATCTTAATTTTCTTTATTTATTTATATCTCTATCTTCATTTTATTTGAATCTTGAACTGTTTAATGAATTAAATACAACTTTCAGATAACATAAAAAATATAACTAATACCAATCAAAAGAGGGGGTCAAATAATGTATAGTAAAATTATGTTATGTAAGCATATAAATTTGTTAAATCGTCAAAATTTTCGGAAATATCAATAAAGTAATTAAAAAATGGGATTATTATTATTATTATTATTTTCGTCGATGTCTCTGTCTCTGTCATTAGAGTAATAGAGAGAGAGAGAGCAGTGAACAGGAACAGATTGCAGAAAAGTAGCGTTGTCTTGGAACGGCTTGTGAGTATAAAGAGAGATCGAATGCATTTGTGAAGTTTCTTCCTTTATCATCATCATCATCATCAGCATCACCATATCTCTGAAACCCAAACGATCCATAACTTCATTCATCTATATATATGTTTCTCTGTGTCTCGTTTATAGTTTCCAACACTCTTTTTTCTTCTTCTTATTCTGAACCTTGATTAGTGTCCCTTTCTAATAATCACAACGTTCCTCGTTCTTTTCTCCATCTGGGTATTCACAATCTCCATGGCTACCACCACCTCTTCGCTCTGCACGTGGCTCGTGGCTGCTTGCATGTCAATCACGTGCGATTCTGACCGTCCCAGAACCCCATACGCTACTCTTCGCTCTTCCAAGAGGTCTCGTAGGAACAAGTTCTCCTCTGTAACTTGCCAATTCAACAGGGGCTTGATTTCCTCTATCTATGGATCCAGCATTCAGGGTCTCATGAACTCTTTTGAACCTTGCGATGATTACTACACTTCTAATAATCTTTCTCCTTTGGGTTTCTTCGGTGACAATGCTTTCTCCTCCCTCTTTGGATCCAAAACTGTTAATTTGAATCGCAGGCAGAGGCGTCTCAACCGAGTCACTCATTCTGGTAATTTTTTTGTTTGGTAATTGTTAGAGATTGTAAAATTGTGCCCTTTATTGGGTATATTTCTTCCTTCCCTAGTTGATTGTCAAATCTGGGTTCTGCCTTTCTGGTGATACAGGATGCGTTTTTCTGAGTTGTTCACTTGAAGCTTCTGCTTTTAGTTTGAATCTTTGTCTTTGGTTTTTTTGTTGTTTATTATGTGGGGTTGTTCGTTTGCTTGATTCTGGTTTAATTTTGAGGGTTGTTTTACCTGCTCTGTTGCTTCATTTGTTTAAGTAATTGATATTATCAGTACTCGGTACCCATGTGTCATTTAACTGGGTATAATTTGCCTTCCTATTATTTGTCGTAAGGATATGCATATGAACCATTCTAAAGTTTACACTGATTACTGATTAATCTTCTAATTGCCACTTTGTTGTTTTTGCAATTTCATGGAGGTTGTCATCATCTATACGGATAATTACTTTAAACAAGATAAACCTCTTTGAGCTTTCCCCCCCCTTGAAATAATAGTTCCACTTAAGATTCCTGAATGCTACCTATGGGCAACTCTCTGTTCCATTTTTGTGTGTGTGTGTGTGTTTCTTTTCATTCTTCTGTGTGTAAAATATTGATGTATTTTATGCCCTTATCATCTTGGTGGTATGTTAAAACATGAGGGGAGGAGGAATCTTAGTTGTTATGGATGCAAAATAGATAAATTCTGGCAGAAACTACATCGCAAGTGGTTTGGCTCCTAGATCTTCAGTATTTTTGACTCTCTGGACACATATACTGATGCCTCTCGCATACATGTAGCTGCTTGGTAGGGTCTGGTTCAGTGATCTGCATTGTTTTCATTTCTATGCAATGGATAGACGTTTAGGCTTGCTTTCATGTGACAAGGTTTCCTAGAATTTTTGTTGTTGTAGGTTTTTTGTAACCTAGTTTACTTAAACACGAGCATATTTTTTATTGGCTGGTGGTTGTATTCCTTGCTCAACATTAATGAGCACCTTTAGGATTATAATTCCTTGAAAAATTATAAAATACACGTGCATTACTTTTTTCTTAGTGGTAGACATTTACTTTCTTGCAAGGCTTATGGTATTACTTTCTTGAATGATAGGCATTTGCCTGCAATTTTGAACTCCAAAGCTGTGCTGATGTAGAAGAAAGCCAATTTATGAACATCATTTATGTCTCATTATTCATATTTTATCTTATAATTGCTGAGTGCTGACCTATGCCTTGGAATTGTAAAATTTCAAGGTAAAACAATGGCTGTAGCTTTGCAACCTGCCCAAGAGGTCACATCAATAAAAAAACCTCCTACAAAGCAAAGGCAAGTAGTTGTGACAGGTTTGGGTGTGGTTACACCACTTGGTCATGAACCAGATGTCTTCTACAATAATTTACTCGATGGTGTTAGTGGCGTAAGTGAGATTGAGACTTTTGATTGTGCTGAATATCCGACAGTAAGTTATATTTAATTCAAATTGTATTTCCAGTTATTGCCTGCTGTAGATTTTTGTTCTCAATATTTACTGTCTCCAGAGGATTGCTGGTGAAATAAAGTCTTTCTCGACTGATGGTTGGGTAGCACCAAAACTTTCAAAGAGAATGGATAAATTTATGCTCTATATGCTAACAGCTGGCAAAAAGGCCTTGGTTGATGGTGGAATCACTGAAGATGTAATGGATGAGTTAAATAAAGACAAGTGTGGAGTTTTGATTGGCTCAGCAATGGGTGGAATGAAGGTAACCTTGACTCTTGCATGTTGAGATTCAACAATTGAGTCACATTCAGTAGTTTGATTTTATATCTAGAAGCATCATAACATCTTTAAGAAGTTGTACCACCTGCTGGTCTTGTGGATTGAATTTATTGTCAAAAGCAATTCAAAATGGAGCCAGTAATCTATTATATTCTGCAATCTCATGGCATTGATTTGTTGACTATTTAGTTCTTCTTTTGTTTATTGCAGGTTTTTAATGATGCCATTGAAGCTTTACGAGTCTCATATAAGAAAATGAATCCTTTTTGTGTACCTTTTGCAACAACAAATATGGGTTCTGCCATGCTTGCAATGGATCTGGTCCGTTGAAATATATCTTGGGGCATACTGTGGACACCATAAATGGGTGTCTTGGTTTTTTGTCAAAAGCTTCTTCTTTTTCTGGCCATGTTGTCTTAAGCTTTTGATAAATGATTTCTTTTATGGATTGCAGGGATGGATGGGCCCAAATTATTCTATCTCTACAGCTTGTGCAACGAGTAACTTTTGTATATTGAATGCAGCAAACCATATCATTAGAGGTGAAGCTGTAAGTATTTTTCTGTTATACTTGTTCTTAGGATGGTGGATTTCTCATATTTTCTCCCTTTTGTTTTTGGGTGACAAAAAGTGTGGTTTAATGCCATTGCCATTTTATCAAAAGGTGCTAACAAATTTAATAAATATGAAATCTATCTTCAGGACTTGATGCTTTGTGGTGGCTCAGATGCTGCTATTATACCAATTGGTATTCTTTTGTTGCTCATTCTTTTTGGCTTCTGTGGAGTATCATGCATAAAACCAATATTAATCCAACAATCATTGGCGCAGGTTTGGGAGGCTTTGTGGCATGCAGGGCACTCTCACAGAGGAATACCGATCCTACCAAAGCTTCCCGCCCTTGGGATATTGTAATACTATAAAAATCCTGTTGCTTTTTATTTTTTATTGAAAATCAGATGAGTATGCCTTTGTCTTTTATAGTAATCTAGAGAGCTTTCTTTACTAAAACCTGTCACATTTTGAAGGTTCGTCACTCTACCTTGTGTATTGCAAAAATGTTTGTAAAATCAATCAGATGGTGTTTTGCACGTGGTTTACTTAAGGGAATCACTATTTTGGATATGAAAAGAGATTGGGCAGCTCTTTTACACTGTTTAGTTTTATAGGACTTTTGTTTTGCATCTTTGTATTGGTTGTTTTTTTTTTGTTCTGAGGATTCTTTATCCTCTATCTTTTGGTAATGTTTTCTTTTTCTATTTCTAATGTAACTTCTTTTGTAAAATCAAAATGTAAGAAACACCAAAAGTTGCATATTATTTGGATATATACCTTGGATATGAAAGACACCACTGGAAGTTTAAAAAGCAACACAAAATTAAAAACTGTGAAGGCATCTAATTTATCAGAACAAAGGACAATGAGAAATTCTGTTCAAATTCTTACCTATTGCATCATTTTTTATACTCATGAAACTTGAACTATTTTGGCAAAGCTATGGATATATGAATTGCAATAGTCAAAGACGCTAAAAGATTGCAGTGCTTGCAGTTTTGGTCTGTATACAAATCCTTTCCTTCATTTTGTCCTGCACTTGTCTACTAACCATCATCTTGTGGTTATGATATTACAGAATCGTGATGGATTTGTCATGGGAGAAGGGGCTGGAGTTTTGCTTTTAGAAGAGTTGGAGCATGCCAAGGTACTTCTGATTTGATCTAATAATTTGTGCACATCTTAACCTTGTGCCAGGACGGATATATCTTCTCCTTCAGTTCCTTCAAACAGTATTAGAACACTTGATGCAGCTGTTCCATCTTGTGTTGGGATTGTTCTTCATACATGTCGTTACCACTTCCTACTATTTATCATCTTAATTTTTATGTGACATTTATAAAATCATTAAATCAAATACATCTATCACTTTTGACATTATACCTAAGTTATTTCTCGAGTCATGCAATTTTTTACATTGCAGAAAAGAGGTGCAAACATATATGCAGAATTCCGTGGTGGAAGTTTTACCTGTGATGCATATCATGTGACTGAGCCACGTCCTGACGGTAAAACGTTCAATCTTTAGGGCTCTTTCTATTCATGCAGTCTTAAAAACATAAATCTTTTGCTGCCATGCCAATAACATTAGTATAATAGTATCTTGATGAGCATGATCTTGGTCTAGAAGTACATTATACTTGTTTAGGATCTCAGGAGAGAAACGTTAAATAAGACTAGTGTGTGTGTTCATTAAGAATTTATTTATATAATTAAAATTATATCTGGCATTTTCTTCTTGGTTGATATTTTTATTGATTACTTGTTGGAGTCTCTCTCTCTCATTTTCTAAATAAAAGAACTATAATAACTTAAAGCTGCATATCTTTAGGCTTAACTTTTATTGATTCGTATGTCTGTTTGAATGTTGGAAAATGGAACTTTTAATGTGAAGCTGATGCACTGTCTGGAATGCAAGTGCATCTTCTATTTGTGCATGTGATGTCCTAGAAAAGAAGGAAGGGGAAGCGGAAATGATTATAACCTTCGGTTTGTTTGCTCTCCATGGATGCAGTTTTCCCTTCCTTACAGCTATTCCTCTTTGCCAGGGCTTTTTGATAAATTTGTCTGTGAATTACATAATCAATGTTCATAGATAGCTGATTGAAACGGGAATCATTTGTCATTTGGCGTGCAATTACAGTGTGCAGTGACCATCATGTCTAAATTCTGATAAGGCATGATTTGAAAGAAAATAAAGAGTGTATGTATGCTTTTCTGGCCACGCTAATGTGGAGTTTCTGTATATAGGTTCATATATTGTAACTTATGTTTTTCCTTTCTGTTGTTACAAATTCTCAGTGTGATTGGAACTTTCCATACTCCATATTTATTATCTTAAAAAGTTTGGAATGTAATTACACTTTGATCATGAAAATTCCAGAATATTGAGAGATTAACTATATCATGCCACATTTTCTTTATGGTTTCAGAGTGATATTTTTTTTTTTCATATTGAAATAGCTTTTAAATTCTCATGGGCTTTGTCTGCAACACTTGGTGAATAATGATACTTAAGTTCCTGCAGATCATTCTCGGCTTAAGCTTGCACTTATGTTCCTTTATTTGATCTCAAACAGGGGCTGGTGTTATACTCTGCATTGAAAAGGCATTGGCTCAGTCTGGATTATCAAAAGAGGATGTGAATTACATAAATGCACATGCCACATCCACACCGGCCGGAGATCTTAAGGAGTACCAGGCTCTGATTCATTGTTTTGGTCAAAACCCCGAGGTAATTTCCTTTTACATATTATTATTACTAGTGTTCTCTTGCTAGCCAATTCAAAGGTAATTACGATTTCCTGCTCTTTTTAATTGTTTTAATTAATGCTGCTGCTTATCATATGTCATGCTTACCAAAGATGTTTTGTTTATACAGTTAAGAGTGAATTCTACAAAATCTATGATTGGTCATCTACTAGGGGCAGCTGGTGGTGTGGAAGCTGTAGCAACAGTACAGGTGAAAACTAATGAATCACTTGCGTATGAAATTTGTATAGAGCAGCTGAAGCTTTACAACTAAAAATTTCTGAGATTTGTTTTTCCTTAATGTAGGCAATTAGGACAGGGTGGATTCATCCCAACATCAACCTTGAAAACCCAGATAAAGGAGTGGTATGTTATTTGTTGCTGCAACATCGTTGCCTTTGTTGGAAACAGTGTTTGTGTCATATCATTAATAGTGTTTTAGATTATCTAATTTGGTGGATCAACAACAATAAACAGGATACTAAAGTGCTTGTGGGCCCAAAGAAAGAGAGACTGGAAATCAAGGCAGCCTTATCTAATTCATTTGGTTTTGGGGGTCACAATTCTTCAATCATATTTGCCCCTTACAAGTGAATCAGATTTCTCGGAGTTTTACTTTGCTATCATTATAAAGAAGGTATGTGAGTTAAAAAGGAGGTTATATCTTGTTCACTCTTTTCTTTGCTCCATTCCATTGTAAGTGTTTTTTACTCTATGTTGCAGTTGTTGAGTACCAAGGCAATGTATTGCATACTAACTATACTACTACTCTTTGGTTGGGTGAAAATATATGCGGTGTGGATTACTTGGTTGGATCAGTAACAATTTGAGAAACATTGTTGGAATGGGCCCTATGGCTATAGAATCAGAACGTTGAAGGATTGTCTGGTGCTCCTGGTGTGGGAGAGTGAGTATATCCACTGGCTATATACCCTTATCTTACCATGAATGGTTAGATTAGGAGTTGACCCTCTTTTGATGTAACCTTTTAACAACCACTTCGTTGGATATATAGTCTTTGTTTTGTTTCAATGTACACATAGACGCCATGGCTGGGCATTGCGACGTAATTAATTTTTTTGAGCTGACTCACCGAATAGGTTGTGTTTTTCACCGAAATTTACACCCTCGATATTCATTTCAATTTAATGAAGATTTTCTCCTTTGCAAAGTGGAACCGGCAATACATACATACGGCTTATGCGGGAATGAATTCTCTATATGAGGCAATTTTAGTAGTTAATAGAAAAAATTAACGATTATGTATGGTTGAGATTATTTCTAATATGACATGAGATCATGTGACGGAGGATCCAGACTAGGCTTTCGCCATGCAAAGTTATTTTGTCATAGCATTAGAGTCAAGCAGCATGAATTAGTATTATTCACGTCTACCAAGATTTAATATTCTAAAGCTACTAAGGTATATCTTCATACAGTTGTTTTCTGTCCATTTATTGGCTATTGGACCTCATAAGTCTTTGTAGGTTCAACAGATACCAACATTTGGCGGTAGCTATTACTATTTAATATTAAAATATAATAAATTAGTCATAAAAAATCAAAGTTGCGAAAGGTGAGGCTTTCCGATGCATTCGTATAATCCACTTTGTAGTCTACTATGATTATTATGATTTTGACAGGAGGTAGCCTAAATAACAACTTTCAGCCTGGTTAGAGGAAAAATAGACCTACTGGTGAATTGTTGGAGACTATCAGAGATGGACGTCTACCAACCAAGTCTGGCATATATTTGAAGTTTTTTTATTTTTTTTCCTACTAATGGGTTTCTCACTCCTGACGATTTGTAAATTCAGAGGTCACGGCTTACATGTTGATGCATCTTCGTATATAGTTCCCACTTAATTTATTGCTCCGTTCCCGCAGTATAATTGAATAGATATATATATATAAGGATAAAGTAGATAAGAGGTACCTTTTTATTTTAAGTAAATATCATTTTTATTTGTAAGTTTCTTATTTGAGAAAAATAAATTAAAAAATTATTAGTTCATCTTAAAATAATCACACTTGTATTTTTTAATTTTTTGTCGAATTTGAAATTAAAAAGAAATCACTCGAATAGGATGGATAAGTGGAAATGCAGGAGAGGTTAATGCAATCATTGGGCAGTGACCGCGGATTCACAGTGGATTAGAATTATCTACGAGACATGAGATAATAATCGATCATGTACCCGTGCACAAAAGTATAAAAAATGTTCAAATATTTGCTAGCTATGTTTGATAAAATTGCACCTCCACATAATAATCACCAATGGGAGAGCCAACGTCGCACCCGTGCACCCCTTACCAGAAAGTATCACAATGTCGGACATGTAAAATATTTTACACAATCTCAATAATTTGAAATGCAAATTGCTTCCATTGGAATCACAAAGAAATCAAAGTACGCATAATCCAAAGTTGAAGACAATAAAATTTAACCAATATTTAGCAAGTTAAATGCGCTACAAGATGAACGAAAAAAGTACATTAGAATTTAGAAATCGTGTAAAAATAACAATATATATTATTTCATCATATTATTTAATTTAAGTCGTATAAAAAAATTATCTGAGAGATTCCATACTTGTATCAACCTATCGTAAAGGAATTTCTGTGATCCACCTTTAGTGAGTACTAAAAACAGAAAACAGTACAACTGATTTCATAAAGAAAACAAAACTGCAACCAAAAGCCCTCTTTTCTCTCTCATCAAATAAATATATGAAAATAAAACAGTACATTATATTTGATTTAACTTAGACCTACAACTCACAGGAGCATCAAAATTGGTACTGCAAATTCATGACATATCAATATAAGCTGGCGGTACTTACATCTTCTTTGGCTTGCCGCTTTTCTTTTGAGTTCGTTTTAGTTTCGAACTCTTAAGGGACAGCACACCTGAGGCACTCTTGCCTTCAAGCTCTTTACTCATCTTTACAACACTAGCCATACCTTTTCTTGCAGTAGCCCGCTGCTGGGGTCGACGACTCATCATTTTCCGATCAAGTGGCCAATATGCATAAGGTTCAAGTTTGTCTTTCCTCTTCAGATCTCCACCTGCTTTCTTGCTCGCATATTCCTTCCCTGTGTAAGCCCAACCAGAGTCTGATGTTTTTCTCCGCTTCTGGACTTTAGTTCCAGACTTAGCAGACAAGTGACTATCAGGCTCACTCCGACAATCAAAATCAGAATCGGCAGATTTTTCATTTCTCTGTTCTTCCTCACGGATAATCAAGCGTCCTTCAGAATCTAACTCCACCTCATCATCTAACATTGACTTTCTTTTGAGATTCTCGGATGATCTAAGAGCTGACCTCGTTTTCTGCCGATCAAGCAAATCAAGTGGCTCATCATCAGATTGGTCAGACAAGTGCTCGGGTAAATTCTTCTTTAGTCTGATATTGGGCCTAGATAGAACAAGCAAGACCAATGTTAGTCAAAATTGATTTTCATAACAAACATTTCTTACTAGGATATATTCTAAATTACTCCGGCATGGATTGCAGTCATCAATCAAATCATTCAAGATGATCGATCACTGCCAATTTATGTACTACAATCAAACACAATTTTTCTTTAAAAAAAAACCTAGATAATCGGAAAATATAAGTAAATCCAAGAATATGGACTCTCGCCACATAAATTACAATTAACAAATTCAAGCAACATTGCAATTAGCAGCAAACCGATCCAGCCAGTCTTGAGAAGAATGGAAAAATTAAATGCTACAGCTTGCTTACCTATATGAAGATGCTGCTGATTTGATATGTAAGGAAGACTTGCTCCGTCCAGAAATTGTCTTGGCATTCAGGTATTCTGCATCACTATTGCCACTATCTCCATCGAAATCCGAGAAAATTTTTGTATGATTCCACATACTCTGCCTGAAAAACAAATTATTATACTAGACCGATGCAACTTAAGATATGGCTTGCAATTTCAACATATCACAATATTAACTAAAATAAAATGATTAGGGCTTTAATAAGTCGTATCAAGAAAATTTTTGTAGAAAATTGCTGGTTCGCCCCCGGGGCATAAGCGCAGCGGAAAGGGTTGAAGCCCTAAGGTCTTCGTGGCAGCAATGCACCAAAGTGCCCGGGTTTGATTCCTGCCCTGCGTGCACATCCCGCGATTTACATCCTCTCACGATTTACATCCTCTCAGGATTCCCAAGGGCATGGGCTTGAGGGGCGGCGGTGATGGGCCGTAATTCAAAAAAAAAAGAAAAAAGAAAATTGCTGGTTCACTTTTCTAACTTCTCACTGGACATGAAAATTAGAAGTTTACTTCTTGAGTTCCATATACACACTATACTTGAATATACATGTAAAATGCTAATACATCAAAACGCACAAGAGGTAGATATTCCAAGTCTTCTCAGAATGAGGCTTTAGGTATTCAAATCTCAAAATGAGGGTGAGTCTTGGAGTGGCGGTAAAAATTGCTCCTTGTGACTGAAAACTCACGAATTCAAGTCCAGAAAATAGCTTCTTTGCAAAAATTGCAAAGGTATGGCTGCATAATATCAACTCTCACCCCTACCCTTTGTTTATGTTCCTAATAAATAATAATGCAAAAAAGATAAAAAAAAATAAAAAATAAACATGATTGTTACCTGGACGTAGTTGCTTTTGAGAGATGAGATCTAGTTTCCTCAGATTTAGCACCTCGGTTCCTCTCTCTCCGCTCCTTGATCTGTTTCAAAACTGGGTTGAAAATCCTAGCAAGACTTGTACGAAAAATAATTATTAGAATGCTATTCAACAGACCTTCCGTATGTTGGAAAGAAGTTTCATATGCTGTTCAGGCATGACGGCTTTAACAGCCTCCAGTCCACATTTTGTGACAAGCATTTCCAAAAGAAGTTTAACCTGAAAAGAATTTGAACCTCACTGTTTACAATATGAACAAATAGCTTCAATACTGAAACAACAGCCATCCACAACAAATCAATGAAATTGCATCTTTTTTTTTTTGTAAAAAAGAAGATGGCATAAGATAATCAAAACAACCTTTGCTTTAAAATGATTTTTGGTGTTGTCTTGCCACTTCAACAAGCCCTCTACCATGTTCCTCAGGTGCATTTGCAGACCCTCCGCTTGTGATTTGGCTACTAATACCTTTATCAAACCTAGATTAGCCTGCATCATGAAGTAACAGAGACACTCAATTAGCAGCTGAAGGATATAAAATTAATTCAGTCAGCAATGCATTTAACCAATAAAATAGACAAGGAAACAAACCTTAATTATCTCTTTATTTTTTCTTTGGAGGAGAAGAAAAGTTGACGGGAGCAAGCTGAAGGCAGTCAAAACAAGATCAGAGAACTCATAAGCCAAACGAGCCAAACCTTTGGCTGCTGCACTTATCATATGTGGAGTTTCCCCAGCAAGGCCTCCAGCAACCTGAGCTCACAAAAGAACACAAAATAAAAATACCTTATATGGGCAACCTATAAACCATACATTGTTCAACAATTGTGAGTTCAAGATCATATCAAATCAGACCACAACCAATGAACATGTAAAGCACGAACTTTAAATTTGATATTTACCATGTTAAAAAATTGATACAAGTTTTCTCTGTTCCCACCTTTGTCCTCATCCCCAAATGCATGGCCAATTTCAACGAGAATTTCATAAGCCCTGTTCCTGGTTTTTTTATTAGCCTGCAAGGATCAACATCACTCTTTCAAATTAAGCACCACAAGAAACTTATGCAGGAAATTTAGAAGCTATTGACGGGCAAAAGCAATGTCCACGACAAACATCTTTTATTCTCTTCCCAACACTATATGAACACTATGATTACAATCACATAAAAAAATAACCACCAACATCTTATTGCCGTAAAAAACACTAGAATAGCCACCCCATCCCATAAAAAAGCTTAATTCAGAGCTGTGCCCAGTAAAAGTATTGTATTTTATGGTTGTATATACAAAGACCAAAAAAATACTAAAAAAGCAAAGACAGAAAAAGATAGTAAAAAAGGCACAAGACAAAAGAATATCAGAAAATAAGGAAAGCAAACACAATTAGAAGTTTAAACTAGGAATTTTAAGCAATAATATAAGAAACTAAAATAGTAGCTTTTTAGAATTAATTTTAAGGAAAGGAACCAATACTCATTAACAGACACATTTGGCACATGGTTGCAACAGCAGCACATGATGATAACTAAACCACAGCTCTCATGATGTTGAGAATTGCACAATATGATAAGCAGACAACTGTGAAAAAACTTACTCACTAAAAACATAAAACATACACTCGTCAAAATGACAATACCTCCAAGATGGTTCTGAACTATTAACCTAAGCAGAGCTATTATATCTGACCCAAAAGCTGAATCTCCAGTGGTACAAAGTTTCTCAAAGGACTACTTGATCCCTTGATCAATCCCACTCATGCTGCTTTGCATAAACTTCAGATTACCTCACCCCCCACAAAAAAAAAAAAAAACTACATATTCAACAGCTCTGCTCCTTGTCAGTAAAACCAATCAGAATAAGTAGACTAACAGTTTCTTTTATCAAAATATGAGTTGCTGATTAGCAATCCTCTTGGCCAGCCATCTGCTGCAGGCCACCACAGCTATAAGTAACAGCAGCCACTAAACTGAAGGCAGACAAGGCTTATTGAGATAGATAGTCCCACATTGATTGGATGGGCAACTAATAAAGCCTTTATAAGGCCTTGGGCACTCCCACCCTTTGAGCTAGCTTTTGGGGTGGTGACCTCAAGGTTCTTAACATGGTATCAGAGCCTCACCGTCCCCCGCTTTAAAGTGGAATTAAAATAAATAAATAAATAAAAAGCACAAGGTAAACCAAAAATTGGGCCTGTGCAATTCCACGCTTCTAGCCTAAAAAGGCTCTTGCGTGAGGGGGCGTATTGAGATATATAGTCCCACATTGATTGGATGGGCAACTAATAAAGCCTTTATAAGGCCTTGGGCACTCCCACCCTTTGAGCTAGCTTTTGGGGTGGTGACCTTAAGGTTCTTAACAAGGCTGACCAGCCTTCCCATTCAAAGAAAAGATATACATCAACATCAACAACACCTTTAACCCAAGCTAATTGGGGTCAGTGGTAGATGAACCTAATGATAGATACCGAAAAGAGAAAAAAGAAAAAAGAAAAAGGTTAGGACGGGGAAATAAGATAAAAGAAAAGAAGGAGGGGGGCATGAAGACTAGAAGGACTAAAAAAAGACCATCTGGAACATAGGGATAACAACAGGTCTAACCTTTCACCCTGCTTATAGCTTTTCTCCATTCCTTCCTAAGACACACCGTCCGCCCATTTATATCTCACTCCATTAAGTCTTGTTTAACTACCTTTCCCCAGGTAAGTTTCGGTTTACCTCTACCTCTCTTTGTGTCGAACTCTTGATAACAAACTTTTGTTTTTACGAGATCATCCAGTGGTTGTCTCATTATGTGCCTAAACCACCTCAATCAATGTTCCCTCATCTTTTCAGTCACCGGTACTACTACTACCTTTCATCGAATATCTTTATTTCGTATCTTATCCATCCTCGTATAACCACACATCCACCTTAACATCCTCATTTATGCTACTCCCATTTTATGCTCATGTTGCCTATGTGCTGGCCAACATCCAGCTCCATATAACATTGAAGGCCTTACTAGTGTTCTATAGAATTTTTCTTTTAGCTTAAGAAAAATTTTGCGGTCACACAAAAACCAGATATACTCCGCCATTTCATCCATTCAAAGAAAAGATATAATTGATAAAAAAAGGAAATAGAGAAGGGTGATGCTACAGAAAGCTCAAGTTTACAAGCATTCAAATTTTCGCCTAGCTGCCACTTAAAAAAAAGCAAAAATTTAAATTTAAAAATAAATAAAGAAAAACTCAGCCATATGGGCTAATAGGTAGTTTGAGCTCGAACTCTTATACACTCAAGGGTACAGTAGAGAAATCCAAAATATAAACAGACAGACGTCCTATTAGGAGCCATCTGTGCTTGCAGGAATCTCAGAGGACTATGGGTCTGCTTGATATGCAAAGATCACCAAATTGACAGGACTTCATGGTATTGTAAGTTCCTGAATTTATTTCCTAAATGCCATCATTTTGGAAGTTGACTGTGGCACACGGAACATGCAATAGTCATGTTGCTTGTCTCACACGGGCAACACAAACCTCAAAACACTACAAAGTTTATATTGTGGGAATTTGGTTTCCCTGCACAGCATGCTATTGTATGTGCAATAGTGGAGCGCTAATTAACAACAATGAATGAACTTATCAGAAAATTCCGGCTTGGATCATGAAAGATCCTAGCAAAAAGCCCAAGTACACCCCTCCAACACACAAAAAATTGCATGGACACTCAAGAAATGTGCCAGCTCCGGAAGAAAAAACCCAGCAGAGCCAAAAAAAATGCTCCATGTAAAAAGGCAACAAAAACTGCACAACTACAATGTTTCCACAATACAATATATTACCTCTTTAAGAGCAAGTATTATTTCAGTAAGGAAAGAACCAACAATTTCGGGCCAGTGCTCCAAATTGTCCTGCAGGCAGAGCATAATTTCAGATTTTTTGTGCTCATACTAGATTATATGTCAATATTCTACAACATATCAGATGCATCATGACAAAAACATGCCTCAATGTGACAAACATGGAAACAAAAGCCCAGCATTGAATACCTTTGATTTCGAGACATGGATTATTAAGAAGTAAAGGCAATCAAGTCGGTGACGTTTGGCAGAAAAATGACACGAAGGAAGAATCTCAACCATTAGCTGAAGCAGTTCCGCAAACTTCGATGAAACAAAACTATCTGACCTCTGTCAAGAATAATCCAAAGAGAAAGACAACGTACTTTAATGACAAACGAGAAAGGTATGCTAATTAATAAAAACCAATCAACAATATTCATACCCATGACACCAAAAACAGTGATTGAAGCATTTTGGATAGGAAGTTGCAATGTGAAAATTTTATGAGATGAAATGACTAAATTAATATGAACATGTTTTGAAATTTTTATGTTAACTGGAAAATCAACTAAAATGAAGTAGCGAAATACCCTGAGAATGTTTGAAAGGACTTTGTACGCCTTCTTCTGCATGACACCTTCAACATCCTGCAAATAATAATAGCTATAATCATCCTAACTTTCCTACATTAAAAAGGGGATTTAGAAATTCCTTGCAAAGAACAAATCTACAATATATATCTCAGTCAAACCTGCAATGCCGGCTTTATTGCTTGAAATAATAAATCAATGTCTTCCGCATCTAAACCAGGCAACAGTGAAACTGAAAAATCAATAAGCCGCACCCTAGGAAAAAAAAGAAATTCTTTGAAATAAATGCAGATAACCAATATGAAAATAAGATAATTTAAGTAAAATGCAGGTGCTACAGATTAAAATAATTGACAACTTTACAAAAAAAACTTAAACACAAGGGAGGGAAATAGATTATTATCTACACCTGAAAACTGATGGAGACACATTATTTGATGCATCATCAATCTTCATAGAATGAAAACTTTTTGAATTGTCTACTTTGCTGGCCTTTCGAGTGCATTTGTAAAGGTTCCACATTTTCTCCTTGAATAAACTGCGCACATCTGCTTTATCTGCTATAGATGCAATATCACCAATTGTGTGCTGTAAATGGAGGGAAATCCATCACTATAAACTTACTAGCACAAGTTAAATGTAAAATGTAGCAAAAAAGGACCAATTCAATTCTCAACTCTCAAGTAATAAACATAAGTTTAAAAATTAGAGCAGATCTGTTAGTGAAAAGGATACAGTAAACAATGAAATATTAATATGTCCAAGAACATGTCTATAGGACAAAATTTTAACGTGCTTTCTGGGGGGTAGGGGTGGAGGTGGGGGCAGTGTCCCTTAAACTTCCAGAGAAATCTCACTGGCAAATATTGCCCATACATCAAAACCTAGACTTTAAAGCAGCTACCTCTCAATTAAAAAATGTCCAAGGAATGAAAACAGCTGCCACTCGTGAACATTTCCAAAAATACCATAAGTCTAATCAAATATCTGTGAGCTGCAGTTGCCTTAGACTTCTTGGACTTGCATATCTATGCAATATCTCCTTATTGCAGTCACAATTGAAGACTTGAAACTTGAAAGAACACTTTTAGAGCTTACTGATCTTATCACGGAGAACTAATGATCAATACAAGTCAATAAGAACCTCAAGCCCACATAATCACTCTTCAACTTTTTTAGTTAAATACAAATATTATTTAAAAGAAAGGAGAGTACACACACACACACATATATATAATAGGGGAAGGATCAACTTTCACCAATATAAGAATAACAAGTCTTTCCCTAAATCTTAGTCGTTGATCTACTTGCATTTAACGGCTCTAATTTATTAGTCATGTGAACCGTTAAAAGCAAGTGATATCAACAACTAAGATTTAGAGTGTTAATTGCCCAGGTGTAAAATGATTCTTCCACTATATAATATATTTACTTAAATCATGACTTGAACTTATTGCCAGGGCACATAAAGTGAGTTCAGACAATGGTACACATACAGAGCTGTGTCCAAAGCACAAAATGCTGATGAGAATCATTTCTCTGACAGTGAGCAACATATATACCCAAGGGGGGCATTTGTTTCAAGGAACAAAAATACATTCCCAGGAATGATATTTCCAGCAAACACTATGACCATGAATGTTATTCTGGGTAAATTCAAGAACATGTTTGGTTAATACTTAAGAAACCAACATCGACATCACATTCATCCCACACAAATTAAGGTCGGTGGTCAAACAGATTGGAGAAAGAATAAGGTTGAACTTTGAAGGAAGTCAGAGTGAATCTTAATGGTTGGCAGGTTCAAGATAACTTCTCTTCCCAAGGGGAAGTAACATACCCACCCCTCATCACAGAAATAAAAGCAAGCAAAACATGGGCATGCTACTTTCCGGGGAATCAATAATGCCCAGCAGTATTTTTTTTAAAAGCTTGTCCTAAACATGCAAATGTCATATTCACTTTCCCAGGAATAACTCTACAAACCTTGAAATAAACACACACTAACTCTTTGTTGCCCAACACAGTAATTGGCACAGGACATCAAGGGCCACAACCAAATTACATATAATACGTAAATCCAACGACAATTTCATGGTAAAAGTTATATCAAGATTTAGAATTAGTGAATAACAATAAAAGATGAAACATATTCTCCAGACAATAAAAGAATGAATATCACATGTAGGCAGCAGAAAACAAGGAATCATTAGAGAGCAATGACTACAGAATACCAAACTCTAGTTTTATGCTGTGTCCAAATACATGCTCAAATAAGGGAGGCATACATTCTGCTTAACTAGTATACATCGAAGCAACTATTCCCAATTTATTTAGTTTTACTACCTGCAAACAACCACCATCATCTTTCGTAGAATTCAGGAATACTTCTGACAGATCCTTTAACAAGTTCCTTGCAGATGACTTCAGCACAAACAAATTGTCTGTTGCAACCTGTTGAGAATAACGGACAAAAACTTGTTCTTTGGCCATATCTTGCCCAATATAATCATTGTCATTTGCATCCACAATGTTCTTGTTTTGCTGAATCAGAAGCTGCAAACTAGTGCATATTATTCCGCGAATATCAGGTTCTTCTTTTAGCTTATCACGTAAATGTTTCTCCAGATCCACGAAACTTTCAGCAGTGTCTGAAGGATAGTTGCAAAATGAAGGCAGCAACGACCACAAAGAGTACATAAGTGCATCAGCATTCCTAGACGACACCATCAGTCCTTGCTTCTCAAGCTGTAAAAAGTACAAAGTAAGAAATGAATACCGTGCAAAAGAATAATATTGCACCCCACAATAAAATGTTTCATACCCTTCGAGCCTTCTCCCTCAAACGTTCAATCATAGTCAGAATTTCTTCTGTAAAATAGGTTAAAGATGCACCAACAATATACTGTTTTAGAATTGGAAAAAGCCAAATATTTGCATCAGATAAATCTTCAGCTTCCAAATTCAGAGGTATAAGGGACAACAAAGTTTCAGGTCCCATTGCATTAAGAGCTGATCCAAAGCATTCATGCAACTGCACATTGTAGAATGTTATATATTAGAAATTTGTTGCACATAAAAATTATAAGATAGGACACGTTCCGAATCCTCTACTAACAACCAACTTATTGGTAACATTAACTAAGAAATGAACAAAAAAAAAATTAATGCACTCAAATTCTTCACTTATTGAAAATATGAATCAATAGAAATTCAATTCGCAGCTCTGGACAGCTATATTTTGTTATTGACTAATCATACAAGCATCGTTGATCAATAGCAATAAATGTCCCTGTTAATACATACAAGCATCATTGACTAATCACCTATCTACTTTGGAATCTTCAATATCATAATGGAAGTCATAAGACATCCTACTTTTTACAGGTTAGCTCATCTGAGAAACTGTTCAAAATTGGGGGAAATGGTCCTGGCATGGAAAACAGAACAAATCCGAGCTCATTGTATAAGATTCTGAGATCTACATTAATATTGCCCAGCAAAACTATATGAAAGTATGATAGAAAAGTTAAGTAGACCTGTTTCTTAAAGGGAAAATCTTCATCAGGTAGCTTCTGCATATCTTCCAAGTTTTTGAGTATTCCTCTCATAAAATAAGGAGAATAGTTTCCTGTATTATAATAGCAGTAATCTCAAAAATCAGTTACAAGCAGTTCACACCACGCTATCATTTAAAGAATGAGTTACAAAGAGACAATAAGTGAGAAGATAATACAGAAACCAGAAGAAGGGACCACACAAACTTTTAGATAATTAAATCATACTATAAAATATGATACTTCTTGACAATGACTAACCAACAAATTATATAAGTCAACGCAAGAAAGCAGAACAAGACTTGACAGCAATCAAAATACCTAATTTATGAAACATAGCCGAAATAACTTGAAATACTCTGTCCCAGACAGCATTATAGTGATAATCAAGTAAGCTCTCAATAGTTGCACAAATTTTTTCAATTATAGTTGGCCCTGACCTCCTTGACTCCCTGTTTTCACTCAAAGTGATCTGATCCACTCCCTGTTTAATCAAACTTTCATCAATACAAGAATTTATAATGCTCTTGAGTGAATCTGTGGCCGCGTATATGGCCTCTTCATGTTCGGATGCCAAAATATCTGCATATTAAAAAGTGAAAAGCATACTTCAGTAAAAAAGGAAACCATATGCACAAACACAACAAATTTCTAATATTTCTTACCTTTGAGAGCGTTAAAGATAATGGGGAGCTTAATTACACATATTTGCCTGTTAAGAGAATAAACTTTATTCATTCCAGCATCAAGCAAGCGAGCAGTAAATGTCATTCCATCTCCAGACATCTCATTTGATGTGATATTAAGAGCCAACGAGCTTAACAAATCAAGTAGTGTTTCAGGGTAAACTTCTGATGTTGGGTGAAGACAGAGAAAATTCAAACCGTCTGTTATGCGCCTTGTGACTAGGGGTTGACGCAGATCCAAGAGAGTTTTGAAGTACTTAAGAATGCTGGTCTTGTATTTCAGTGACAAAAAAGGAAGACATTCTTTCAAGGCATCAAGAATATACAGAACCTGTTGTGCTCCTGTAGTTCCTTCACCTGCATTTGCATTTGCTCCACCCGCAAGCAAAAGAAACCTTTCGAGTTGGTTTGTGACTCCTTCGCTTGCAGATGCCAGTAGTGAAGAATTTTGAAAGTTTAACAAGACATCACGTAGACACAAATGAGATTGTCTTCTGACCTGTTGAAAGCTCTAGTTAGCGAACAATATTCAATTATGTACCGTAGTTTAGCAAGCATTCTATGTCATTCATCAGGACCAGAAGCAGTCATGCAGAAAACTGATCAGAATTCATGTAACCTTCCACCAAAACAACGATCTTCCCCCTGTCCCTGTAGATCCTCTTCTCCCACTTAGAGTTTAAAACGAATAACAATTGTTACACCATCTCAACAAATAAAAACAGCACAACTTGTCCAAATTATTACCAACCTATCTTGGGCTCTATTCAGAATATTAAGGATGAAGACCAAAAATAAGGAAGGAAGGAAAGAAAAAACATGACACCAATTCCAAAATGTCTCACTTTGAAAGATGATAGGAACCCAATAATGAAGGCTTAGTATAAAAAGAAGTACAGGGGATCACTTGCCCATAAACATGCTGACACAGCAAAGAATATTCCCAAGATTGTTATTGGGAAATCAGTTGAGGTTTGGAGGGAAGGATGTGAATCAACATAGAGTGTGCTAGTTAGGGGTGTAAATGGGCTAGGCCGGGCTACAGGGGCCTACAACCTAGCCTATATTAGGTTAGGCTTAATTTGTTACAAATAGTAAAATAGAACAGGCCTAGGCTTTAAAAAAACCTATTTAGAAAATAGGTCATAGTCTTTTTTGTACATATCATGCCTATAAACTTACAGGCCGGCCTATATCATATTATTTATTTTAAATAAAATAAATAAAATTATTATTTTAATAAATTTGAATAATAAAGTAATATTATTTTAGTTATTCTTTTAATTATTGAATGTTTAATAGGCTTAAACAGGCTAACAAGCCTATGCCGAAGCTTTTATTTTTTAAATATAGTTCAGGCCAGACTTGTAATTAGGAGCTTACACAGGTTAACAGGCCAGGCCAGACGCATTTTAAAGCAGGCTTGACCTATTTAAGTCAGAGCCTAGCCTAGCCTATTTACACCCCTAGTGCTAGTATAGTTAAATAGAGGAAAGAAGGAGTAAGGGAGGTACCTTAAAGAATTGGGAAGGTTCGGGAATGGACTTTGGGAGAGACAGTTGCCTTTCTAAAGCTACAGGAATACCGTGGCTATTTCCTTTTCAAGCTTATGTTAATCTGTAGTTGAATTTCTGCAATCTTGTGGCAGAATTCATTTCTTTCCTTTAATTTCAGTATTGTTGAGTTCATCGTAATTTCACTGGTTTCTTATTGGAAATAAGCTATCAATACAATTATCTCACTGTTTCTTGTGTTATCTGTCATTTTGGAACTTGAATCCTAACAAAAGATCATGCCAAAATTTGAAGCTTTCTTCTTCTTCTTCTTTTAATTATGATGGTGATGGTGATGGTGATGGTGGAAGATTGAACACTAGGCAGGGCCAAACCAAAGGCAATGTACAATTTTATTACAGTACAATCAACCAAGTTTAATGATCCTACGAAAACGGAGACATCACTCTCAACAATAACCTATAACATAGTCTCGTGCACCACAAAAATCTCCAATTTTCCACTAGTCATCAAATCAATTGCATAGCAATTGCCTTTAACACGCTCCAAAGTCCAAAAGATAAATTCAAATATGTCAAACACAATCAAAATTCAGTTTTACATTTTAAGAAGCTTTTCGTTTTAATAGGTTAATTCTTTTATATTTTTTAGAAATAAACTCTTCTCATAAGCTTAGAATAAACGACCAAAGAATGAGCTACTTTGTACTAGGATGATATACGATGAAAGCGACCCTCGTGAACTATCCACACGGACTTCAGTCATATTAAAATCAAATCCAAGTAATACTTATCTTAAAATCTTTTATAGAACAATCATTCTGGGTCAGGGCTAAACATAAAATGTTAATGGTCCTCACTAATGATTGAAAACGGAAGGAAAAAAAACACAATGAAAAGAAACCGTGAGAATTCAGGATTACTTTAAAATAAAATAAAAATAAGAACCCAGGAATCACTTTACTAGAACCAAAGGGAACCATGGGACTTTATCCCGTATTGCAAAATCGTAATGGGCAATTGCAACCTCGATAAAAAAGAAGCAAGTAAAAAAGAAAAGTACCTTAGGTCGTGAATCAGTAAGCAATCCCAACAAGACGTTGAACAAGTTAGACACATCAGACCAGCAGACACTATCCCTGATGAACAACAAATGCGAAAGGCACTTCAATCCGGAAATTACTGCACTCTCCGCAACCGACTGAGAGCGGATAACTCGAACCAAGAGCTCCGACAAGAACTCTCTCTTCTTTTTCAACACAGCGACGGGTACTCTGGCAATAACGAGGGAGAGGATGGTGAGAAGTGCGTCGATGGCGTGGTTGGGAGGGTTGGGTTCGGATGCGATGCGGTCCAGAGAAGAGCATGCGGCACCGAAGTAGGCTACGGGGGACGAAGGTAGATTGTGGTCTTTGAGCTCCTGAGACATAGCGCCGATGACGGCGCATAGGTGCTGGTGGCTTTCGCTCGTGGAGTTGGCGAAGCGAGAGAGGATTGAATTGCAAAAATCATCGTTCGCTTCATGAATGGAGAGTGCAGGTTCATCCATTTCCATGGCCGATAAAACCCTAGCTAGTAGTTAGCTTCCACGACAGCAGAGGTTTATGAAGAGACTGGTTTATTATTATTAACTCTTTTCTATCTACCCGGGAAATATTTGTTATTGGGCCTCTCGGCCCAGTCCAGAAAGAAACATTGGGCCTCTCGGCCGAAACACTCTTTATTCCATATTTGGTTTAAAATAGAAAGCACAAAAAAGGAGGACCAAGGACTGGACAAGACTCAAAATAACTCTCAAAAATACACCCAGGAGAACAAATATGTAAAAACCTATAATACCCCTACTCAAGGAATCCAAGACATACCATACTACTCATCGTTACAACGTGCTCCCTGCTATCTCATGTATACCGGCGGAGCCATGTTTTGTCAATCTCGGTTCGGGTTAAATTTTAACAAATTATATTTATTGTGTATAATTATATAATTAATTATAATTTAGTTTAGTTAAAATTATAATTTGACTCGGACTATAATTTGACCTTATCTAAAGTTTACAATATTTTTGATAAAAAATTTATGCAAGTTATATTAAGTTATGTGTTCAATTTTCACTTATATAAAAAATATATATATATATATATATTTAGTAAAATTAAAAAATATTTAATAAAATTATAATTGTTCTTAATACTGTCTACTCATGTGCTCTGTATTTAATATAATTTAAATATATTATAATATAAACTAACTAAAATTAAAAAAAAATACATATATAATTTTTTGATCTAAACTTAAGTTGAAATCCGACTCCGTCAGTGTAATACCTTCATTTTCAAAAGAAGTTACGGTTATTAAAAACCCACCCTGACCCTCCATTCTATCCAAATTTCATTCGAAACTCCAAAACCCATCCAGATTGATTCTACACACAAGAAGTCAAGGATTGTGGGGTTTGTTAATCTGATCCACGCAAAAATGGGTATATGTAGGGATGTTCGCGGTCTGGATTTGATCGGTTTTAGAAGCAAAACTCATCCGATTTAATCCTTTCGGTTTAATCATGTAATCATCCATTCGATTTAGATTTTTTTTCAAATCCGATCCGATTCAATCCAATTTTTTTCGGTTTGGATTGGATCGGTTTTCGGTTTTTTGAATATCCTAAAATTAGTTTCATGATTATTGTGCAAATAACATCTTTTGTGTATATTGGCTTTGTAAAAAAAAAAATTGAAATACAAAAATATCAGTAAACAATACCATAGGTGATGAGACGTGAGTAAGTTTTTTTTGGGTTTAGTTGATGAGTTAATGGGTCTTGAGTTTAGAAATTTTTGGGCTATGATTGGAGAAAGGACAAGTAAGTAGAGGATAATTAATATATTGGATCGATTTTCATCAACCCATCCGAAAATCGATCCAATCCAATTAAAATTTGTGGTTTTCTTTTGGTTTCTGATTTTTCGATTTTCGATTTATTCGGTTATCGGTTTTTCGGTTCGATTTTCGCGGTTTGAATCGGTTTGGATCGGTTGATGAACACCCTAAGGTATATGCGTGGGTGTGGAAAAGGCGTGAAGGAACAGCAACCTACAGCAGTCCACATCTTATCACGCGCACACAGCTTCCCCTACGGCTGGCAAAAGAGTCCAACTTGTCGGGTTGACATATTTAACCCATTATTTTGTTTAAGATTCTCAACCCCCGCCTCATTTAAGGGTGAGCCAAAACGGGTTGAATTGCTGGGCCAAATTGTATTTTATTTACTTTCAAGTAGTATTTTATTTATTATTTTAACCTTTTGTGATATCCAAAACTTGTAATTTAATATTTTTCTGGAAAAATTAAAAAAATTGCTTTATTTATGATAAAGATTATTCATATATGATGACAAAAATAAATTATTAAAGACTATTCGACTGAATATTAACATACATTTAAATTTAAAAATATAAAAAATTACAAAAGAGTGAAATAAATTTAAATAATATTATAAATATTAAAATAATCTAATTTTTAAAACAGGCCAACCCACCACAAAACAAGATGGGTTGGTATTTTCAATCCATTCTCAAGAGGTTGACGAGTTTGTGGTGGATCATGGTAGGTCAACATACTTTGCCGCCAATCACAAACTGGAACTTAAAATACATTTTGTCTCTGCCTTGATTGATAACCCATTTGGTATATATATTCAAATGTGAAAAAATCAATGTGAAAGACTCATAAATTTAATATCTTAAAAATTTGGTTAAGATATGACATCAAATTAATTAAAAAACTAGTTGTCTTTTGCATGAGTTTTTTTTTCTTTTTTCTTTTAAGGTTATCCTGTGCATGAGTTATCAAACACGAGAAATAATAAAAGGTGAGGTATTGTCCCTCAACTTGTATCAACTGCGCCCAGCATAAGAGTGTGATAGAAATAAATAAATATATTTTCTAAAAAAAAATTTAATTTAATTATATATTAATTCATACTTTAAATTATTAAAAAAAAATATCAACAATCATATTTTTAAATGAAATATATTATAGTGCATGTCTATATTTAACTTGATTGGTTTAAAATACTCTACATGCATTCACGAGTTTCAGCTGTAGAGTGGCAAATCAAAAAACACTTCCAAGCAATGAGAATAGAGGTCGTAGAAGAACAGAATATGACGTATATTGTTCAATTAGCTAGTTTGAAACCAAATACTAGCTTAAAATACATTCTTAACTTATATGGACGTAAATTATTTAAATTGACCCCAAATTTGTGAAGAAGACTGTAATTGAGTTCTGACTTTTGCCTGCATGCATTGCACGTGCTAAGTGAGATTCAATATTCTATCATGAGATCATTCGTAACTTGCGAGTAACTTGCCAGTAGTGTAAGTGGATCGGACCGGTCTATATATAAGAGCCTACGATTTACATATAATTAAATAGAACAGGTCCGAGTTTTTAAAAAAAATTATTTAGAAAACAGGCAATAATTATTATTTTTTACATGTCGGGCCTATAAATATACATGTCGGCCTATATCATATTATTTTTTTAAATAAAATAAAATAATATTATTCATAGTAGTACCAAATGGTGATGGTTCAGTTTGTGCATGTGAGCTGAGTAGGTGGTGAAAGGACCTAGGTTTGACCCCCCCCCCCACCAATACTATCTTTGAGAGTATGGGTGTTCGCGGTCTGGAATGGATCGGTTTTGGAAGCAAAAATCATCTGATCCAATACCTTCGGTTTGATCATTTAATCATCCATTCGGTTTGAATTTTTTTTCAAATCCGATCCGATCCAGTCAAAAAAAATTCGGTTTGGATTGGATCGATTTTTGATTTTTTGAAAATCCTAAAAAAAATTTCATGATTATTGTGAAAATAACATTTTTTGTATATATTGACTTTGTAATTTTTTTTTTTGAAATACAAAAACATCAGTAAACAATAATATATTTTTTTTTCGATAAGATATGAAGCTCTACACAGATGAAATTTTGTTGACAATATGTGAGTACATTTTTTCTTGGGTGTAGTTGATGGGTTAACAGGTCTTGAGTTTAAAAAAATTTGGGCTATGATTGTGGAAAAGTCCAAGTAGGTAGAGAAAAATTAATATATTTGATCGGTTTGGATTGGATCGATTTTCATCAACCCATCCGAAAACCGATCCTATCCAATTAAAATTTGCGATTTTTTTTCGGTTTTCGGTTATCGGTTTTTCAGTTCGGTCACCGCGGTTTGAATCGGTTTGGATCGGTTGATGAACACCCCTATTTGAGAGTGACATAAGATATGTCCAAATCTCTACAGTATCATCAGAATCAACATTTAGTGCTGGATGAAGAGTTCTTGATGTTTATCGTTCTAGTTTGGCTGAAGATACCATCCAAGCTTTAATATATGGTGGAGATTGGCTACGTAATAAGTATAACTTAAAAAAAAAAGATATGATTTTTTTTAATCTTTTTTTCTTTCTATTAATCTTGTCTTTTTTTTTTCTACATTTACAAATTATTTGCCAACTTATGTAATTGTGGAATGTATTTGCAGGAGAGAGAATATGATGAGAAGTTTTTGGCTACTACAAGCATCATAATGCATTTGTTGGATTCATATTTATTTTAATTTACATAGCATGAATTGATTTGTTGGATCTAATTAAATATATGTTATTTAGTTTGAGCATTTTGCTTCTAAAAGTGAATTAAATGCAAATTGTGATAAGTTATTGTGATTTATGATTTTGTCTGGACGTTGAAATTGTCTTTTTGTTTTAACTAACAACAGGACGAGGATTTTGTGATTCATGTTTTTTTTTTTGAAGTTAAAAACTAACAGGCTAATGGATTAGATCAGGCCATTTTTTTTATGAACGAGTGAGACCAGACTAATAGTTAGACTCATACTATGCCATGTCAAATTAAATTTTTTGACATAAACTTCGACTTTTTGGGATAAAACTTGACCCAACTCACTTTACTTTCACCCCACTTACGAGTAGTCATGTGCGACGATTAAGAGTTACAAATTGTAGCAGAGCTACAATGAAAGCACCATTGTAGCAGTGCTACATGGAAAGAGAATTACATTATAGAAATTAAAGAGAAGAAGAAGAGTTTTAGAGAGAGAGAGGGAGGAGACACAAGGGAGAAATGAGTCAATAGTCTTCTCTGCTTTTCATTCCAAACACACATATTTAACAGGAAACGTTTGTAACTGAATTATTATCTCATCACAAAGGGAAATTCTAATTATGTGATAATAAAAGTAACAAAAACAAAGGGACACATATTGTAGAATTAAAAACAAACACATATATTGTAGGTGCATGTGGCCATTGGGAGCATGTGTTTCTGTGTATAAGTGCGTCGTTACACAAATCTTGGTGTGATACAAACCCAAGGGTAACTCTTCCAGCATCACATCCACGCAGGCCCCGAACTTATCTATCTACGTGCATGAAGTGAATAATTGAAGACTTGGTCTCTAGTCAATGACCCCATGGAGCAAGCACGATTTTATTTGCAGTTTTCTAGGATATATTTATGGGAGAATGTTATATTTTTAAATTTTTTATTTACAAATTATATTAAGTATGACCGGTTAAATCAAGAATGTACGACGGATCAGTTATTTTTATATTGTTAGTGGTGCCATCATTTTAGAAATCCAACCCAACTTTTTTTTTTGTAATTCCTATTTAAAAGGGTTTGTTATTTCAGTGAAGGACATCATAAAATTACTCCATTTTGTTTATTTTTTTCTCTTTTCCTTGAACTTATTATCACGTGACTGAACTTTTATGGGTTTGGCAAGAGATTAAAAGAAAATAAATAAATGAGAGAACGGTACACGCATGAATTATGGTATTAGTCGGCAAGTCGGTCGCTATAAAATTCTCATCAATGCGTTTAAGCGACAAATAAAATTCATGTGTTGAATAATAATGAAAATACCATCTAAACGTGACCGAATTGATGAGTAATGAGTTTAATAATTCAAACAGAGAGGTAAATTGAGGAATTTTACGAAGGACACATTATTATTTATGTTTAGGTAAGTAAGCCATCGTATTAGTAACAACATACAAACGTTTTTTTGCAGCAAAAAACCAATACCAAAAGCTTACACGGTAAATACTAAAAAAAAAAAAAAAAAAAACTTACACGGTAACGTACATATGGTGATTAGTAAAAGATTTTCATGCACTAATCACACAGAGTTAGAACTTAGAAGCAACAAAATCAGAAGTGTGTTTTGGAATTGGAGCGAGGCTTCCCATTCCTGCTAGCACCAAGGCGATTGATCAGGTACAAGGCGTTGCTGGTGAGCATAGCTACACCCGTTACCCTACGGTTCACGTCCAATTTGAGTTTCCCTTCGACGTTGCCGTCTTTGAAGCCGTTGAGGCAGGATTGGCCGTCGGTCATGGCGGTGCTGATCCATGTCTGGGCGTTGCTCATATGCCACTCGAACTTTCCCATCTGCAGGTGCTGTAACTCGTTCAACGTGTTGCTCAACTCGTTCACCGAGTCGGAAATCTGCGCCACGCAGTCACTCACCGCACCTCGCTGCCAGTTACTGGACCCTGACTTTGCTTGTAACTGCAGGTTCTTGAGGTAACCGGAGAGGGTGCGAGCGTGAGCGAGGCTAACCCTAACAGCGGCTTGAGCCAGATCCAAGGGCTTCATGGCGGGACCTGCGGAGTTGGACAGAGTTTGGACGCATAGGTTGGGGTACCGGGCCTGAGCGCACGATGAACGAAGTAGCAGATCTTGCTGTGTCGCCGGTGCGGCGGCGCAAGACAAAAGTGGCGGAGACAGGAAGAAGAGCAAGAAAGCGGAGAGCGTGTGCGAGAGAGTGTTATATCGATGTGTTTGCATTTTCGGTTCTGTGAAAGAAAAGAGGGGAGCGAGGTGGTGCTTTATAGGGCACAAGAGCAAATACTTATACTTAAATCACTTCAAACTTCACAGTCTGTGTGAAAGAAAAGAGGGGAGCGAGGTGGTGCTTTATAGGGCACAAGAGCAAATACTTATCTCATACTTTAAAAAATATTAAAGCACTTCAAACTTCACAGTCATATAATTTTATTTTTTTTAACTTAAGTGCACGAGACTGGTATAAGAAATATATCCACAGCTAACATGTTCTATTAAATTTTTCTTTCAAAGACCAAGTGGGAGAAGAATCAATCTGTTAATACTTTGAAAACTATTATTTAATCAGGAATATTGTAACAACCAATTAATTTTATCGTTAGATTTATTATATTAATCTAACTGTTATATTTTTTTTCATCTTTGTATGGTTATGATTTTTCATATTAAATACTTTATATTTATTTTTATTTTTATATGGTTATAATTTTTTATATTTAATGTTTTCCCATTAAATATAGAGAATCATAACCATACAAAGATGAAAATAAATATAACTGCTGAATTAATATAATCGATCTAATGATAAAATTTATTAGTAATAATATTAATAATAACCATAATTGATTGTTACAATATCCTAGTGATTATTTAATTATGGTCAAAGTTCCTGAACTTTAAAATGCACAAGATGTACTTCAGAAGGGGAACAAGTTGTGTAGTCATTCTAAATGAAACGTTCATATATATCCCTAAAAAAGGAAAAAAAATAATGTTCATATATACACATTTCAACTTGTATTTTTTTTAAGGTGACGTCCATGTAACGAGCTTTACGAAGTTTCCTCTTATCAAGTATTTTAAAACTTAGAAGAGTGCCACCCACAGCAGTATTCTATTATTTAATTCAATAAAATAACATTTATATTTCCTTTAGTTTTGTTTGTTTTCATCGGGCTTAGGCTCCGCCCCTTTGTGTAAGAAAAAAGTAGGTCAGCTATACAAAAATAAAAAAAGAAGGTCATCGATTTTTGAACCTCCCTCATATAAATGCACTGCCAGCAAGAGGCCAGTACAGTGGCCTATTGGGAGCGGAGCAGGTCGGCAGGGATTTATAATTTTTATTTTTATTTTGTACTTCTTAATTACAAGTTACAACGTAAGCTAGCGACAAAGCGAGATCCCGAGATAGTTATTAAATGGGTCTTTTTATAATTTTTAAAAAAGTCAGGTTAAAATATATATGGAAGGAAAAAGTGTTTATATTTTTAAATTACACGATTTATATTTTTTTACTCTCGTCAAGAGGTGAGATTCACACCTTTATTTTTTTTTGTCAACTCTATTTTCTCATTTATCTATCTCTTTATCTCTTTTAAAATAATACAACTTTACATCTTTTAAGATGACACGCATTTTTTTCATACGCAAATCACATTATTGTTTTACATTTAAATCTGTTCATATGTGATAAACCTTTAGTTTATCTTGTTTAATGGACTAAAATAATATGAATTATCTAGTTGAACAAGTCAAAAATTAGGGTTTTAAAATGATAATCATGAACATTATCTGATTGTTGGAACTAATTAACATATTTGTTATTTTTAAAGGGATTTGATAACAAATGATTCAAATATGAAGATTTAGATAAAGAGAGATAAAATCAGAAAAGAAGATGAATCAAGGTGAAAACAATAAGATTAAAGATCTTATCAAGTTGTTAGAAGTGGGAGCTTAAGCCCTCATTCACAAGCTTAAGCGCCCAGACAAGTCCAACTTAGGCCCATTCAAGTTTTCTACTGCAATACGAACTCTTGACCTATTTAAACACCATTGAGGACCAGAAATACATAACTTTTACATTGCTAAACAACTCTTGGGTGCTCGGAGGCTGAAGGAACGCGGAGAAACATCAGATTCATGTTCGTGAGCGGCGGAGACGGATCAACGTCAAGTGTTCACTGGAGATATTGAAGATCCACCAATCACTTATGGAGTTTGGGGGAGCTTTTCTATTTTCTTTTGTTCTTGATTTTGCCATGTCCGGCTAGTTCTTTAAGTAGTTAGGGTTAGATAGATTTTAGTCAATTTATTATGCTTTGAATAATTCGTACGTTAATTTTCCTTTTTATCATGAATGAAGTTATCTGTTTTTAATGCTTTATATAGGCTTGAATCTTATATAATGATCATCGGTAAATGCATGACAATAGGTATGTTGGTGTGTGATCCATATCTGATAACTTCATCGTAAACGCTATGATTCTAGGGATAGACATAGAATTTGCGTAACCTTAAGATTCTTCTTGAACTTAATGCTTGCATTCTTGGGGAATAACCGGGGAACTAGGGTTCTTTCAAGTTTTTAAAGATTTTAGGGTAACAAGGGATTGAACTCTAATAACACGCGAAAGAATTGGTTAGATTGATATTAAAGACTTTTAACGTAAAGAAGGACTTCGAATCATAATAAGGAGATTAAAGGAAATCGAACCCCTAGCTACGTTTTTATTTTATTATAAGTTAAATCACATCTTTAGTTTCTTGTCTTTAATTCTTGCAAGTAATTAGCTTAATATTTAATATTTTAATTTTGCAATTCAAATCCTGTTTCCAAATACACTTTTGATTGTCCAACTAAGTTTGCGATAGTGAATTAGTGCTTGAACCGTAATCCTCGTAGGAACGATCTCTTACTTAATCATATATTACTTGTACGATCGGTGCACTTGCCGTGAGTGGCAACAATATGCTTTCTTAATTAGTTTGTTAGGTACGTGTCTCCCCAAGATCTTCAACAACTTGGAATTTTTTTTTTTTAAAGAAAAACAACACGGTTGCATTAAAAAGGAAGCGTTCGATTATAACATCTTGCACATTGCGGCATTTATTGTCAAAATCCACAGAAATCCGGATGATCCAATGGGAACTACTTGTTGACCAAGTATGAGTAGGAATTAATAAATTGTATAACATTAATAACGTATTAATCAATATTAAATATTTATTCACATGAAGAGCTTCAAGGGTTTGATTTAATTGTATATTGGTGTGTCAATATATTTAAATTTTAATTATCTCAATTATTTAAAATCAGATTCTAAATATAATTTTTTATGTATTTTTTAACCCTGACATTGTTAGTCTAGTCTAGTCTCTCTCTATATATATATATATATATATATATATATATATATATATATATATATATATATATATATATATATATATATATATATATATATATATATATATTTGTGTGTAGGGTTCGCTTTTTTTACAGTAAATTTAGATAATTTATCTACATTGAACTCAAAACGACGTCGTTTTGTGGTGAAAATAAGATATTTTTGTAATTATAATTTATTTCAGGGTTATAATAATCTTTTTCATTTTAATTTTTAATTTTTCAACCTAAAACGACGTCATTTTGAAAGCGAATTAAATAACTTATCTACATTCATTTTAGAAACATTATATATATATATATATATATATATATATATATATATATATATATATAAATATCTCTACAGCCACTTTAGATAAGGTTATCTACAGCTATCTCAAAAATTACGTCATTTTTATTAATGAAAGATGTTTATTTAATTTTAGGTGAATTAATGAAGGATGTTTCTGTAATTTTGTTCATTTTTTTATCATATGCATTTTACTAAAACACCCTTCATTAATTCACCTAAAATTACAGAAACACTCTTCATTAATCAAAACACGACGTATTTTTTGAGGTAGCTGTAGATAACCTTATCTAAAGTAGTTGTAGAAATATTTTTTCTTATATATATATATATATATATATATATATATATGGCTTATTGTTTCTCAAGCTGCTTGAGAAAATTTTATATACGGCTACTAAATGATAACCGTACAAAGATGGATCAATGGTGATAAATGAAGAGAAAAAAAAAAGGAATAATAACCATTCAAAGGTGAATAAGTTAATATAAGGAAATAAATATATAAAACGACGTAGTTTTGGGTAGCTAGAGATAAACTTATCTCAAGACTCAAGCTGCTCGAGAAATATTTGTTCTATATATATATATATATATATATATATATATATATGGGGCTTGTCGTTTCTCAAGCTGCTTGAGATAATTTTATCTCTGGCTACTAAATCATAATCGTACAAAGATGGATCAATGGTGATAAATGAAGAAAGAAAAAAGGGAATCATAAGCATTCAAAGATGAATCAATTAATATAAGGAAATAAATAAATAAAATGACGTAGTTTTGTGGTGACCGGAGATAAACTTATCTCAAGCTATTTGAGAAATATTTTTCTCATATATATATATATATATATATATAGGGGAGGGTTCTTTTGACTCCAGAGTAAGACTTTTAAGTCTTACTCCAAATCCCAGCCGTTGATGGACGGAAATCAACGGTTGTCATTAATAGTATAATTAATAATTAATTAATTAATATAACTTCCTAAATTATAACCGTTGGATGGACGAAAATCAACGGTTAGGATGGAGAGTAAGACTTATAAGTCTTACTCTTGAGTCAAATGATCTCTCTCTATATATATATATATATATATATATATATATATAGGGCTTAACATTTCTGCAGCAGCCGTAGATAGTGTTATCTACAGCTGACACAGAAAAGTGGGCCCCACGGCTTTTAAAAAAAAAAAAAAAAACTCAGGATCTGTGTCTGTATCCTAGGATTCGGACGTGTATCCTTGCTTGCTGTAGGTACAACAGCTGCAGAAATCATTTTGCCATATATATATAGCCTATTGAAATATGATCTTTTGACACTGGTGTCAAATTTTAAAATTTGGTCCATAAATTTATCCAATCAAAGATTATTATTTATTGGAAATCAAATTTATTAATTAATATTAATTGCCAATAAATGATTACCTTTAATTGGCGGAAATCAACGGATAGAACTTGATGTCAAATTTTAAAATTTGATACCGGTGTCAAAGGTTTTGTCATAAATATATATATG